CCGGGGCCCCCCGCGGGCGCCGCGCGCGGGCCCGGCGGCGGGGGGTCCCCCCGTGGCCCACTACGAGCGTGGCAAAACGGCGCATGACTGGAGCATGCGTACTAGCGGGGAGTTCTCAGCCTTCGTCCTTTCCAGCTAGTCAGGTGCGAATCACCCTGCTTTCACTGGGCCCATCATCTGCCTCATCCACTCCTGGATTCGTTAACCCATGCTCCCACCACCCTATGGCTTATCAATGCTGTTTTGTGTTCTTAATTTTCCCAACACTCCCCAAACCCTGTGGTATTTTAAGATAGTTCTTCCACTTTGGCTTTTATGTAAAACCACTGACCTACCCTGAGCTGCCAGCAAAACCATGCATATGAGAAAGTCCCAGATTTCTTCAATCATGTAAGATGCAATAGTCCGAAGTACCCTGCTTCTGGGGGCAGAATTTAGGGGATTTTGTATTTACTTTTCCCTCCCTATGCTAAAAAGATCCCAAAGACACAGCCAAAGACCCCAATCTGTGCACAAAAATGATACATTTATTGAAAGAGTATTTTTTTTTTAATACAAAAGAAAGCTCTGTACATAGGATGTGACCATGTCCACTATTCCTGGGTCAACATCCCAGGAGAAGTAGAAACCACTGATATACCCACATACACCCCACATTCACACATAGACACTCACTCAAATACAAGCATACACACACCCCAGAGCCACTTAGGAAGGAAACACCAAGGGTCGCTGCACATAGAAATGTCACCTCAATCCTGACAAGCAGGGTCTCCCAAGGCCACAGTCACACAGCACACATTATAAGCACTTTGCCTGATTCACTCACTGGATCTATCTTTTGTGGGGAGGAATTAACATCTCTCCCATGTGTTGGGGGAGTGGTAGTGAGTGGCAGTGGAGTGAAGCAAGAGCAGAGCAATGGGCTGGGCAGTTACAGACCTGAGTCCCAGGCTCCCCCACTCTGGCCCCTGATTTACCAAGCCCCAGTCTTGAAAGCTACCCAAGGCCCCAGTTATTTCTAGGAGAAAGCCCAGAATGGTGGCATGTGAGGTTGGGGGGGGGGTCTCAAACCCATCAGCAGATCGTCCCCAAAATACCTAGGCAGTACAAAATCCCTCCCCACCCCTCAACCTAACCGCAGAAGCAGGCTGTGCCTACTGAGGGCAGTAGCAAGGGCTTAATGAGACACTCCACCCCAACTGCCATTCTGAGAAAACTCCTTTACTGGATGCAGGTGGTTTAGGCTGGCTCTGACACAGGGTAAAACACCCTCCCCCTATGCTAGCCCACCCTCAAGGTCCCCAAGCGGGTTCTAAGGGGGGTAGGGCATGGCCCTGTACAAATTACATAAATACTGAGGTTACACTTAGAAAAATAAAGTCATTTTCTTCAAGGCTTTTTGTCTTAATTTAAAAAAGTTACAGTAGCTGCTCACTCCCTGGGAGAGCTGCCCATTGCTGGCTCTCCATTGCTGTGCTCAGTCCAAGAGCTGCTCCTATATGACCCATTCCTGTGTCTCCCCACCTCCCAGACCTCACCCTGCTCACTGCGACTTGGGCCCCAGGTGGCTGCAAGCCTGGGGGAGCACAAGGCTGCAATGACCATGCTGTGGCACAAATGAAACCAGTCTCCTCTACCTGACCCCTCCCACCCTACCCCCACATTTGGTCTCCCTCTTCCCTCTTCCTAGCCACAACCCGATAGGGCAAAAGAAGCCTAGAGTTGTGGGTCACCCTCCCCTCCCCTTTTGGGACATGGCCTAAGGGCCTCTCCCCCGGCTTTCTCCTGCAAAGAACCCAGGTCATGGGGGAAACCCAGAATCTCCCTCACACACACTGGTGGACCCCGAGCTCATGGGGTGGCTGTCCCCAGGAGCCCAGCCAGTTCTAGAGAGCCTAAGGGCTCTCCAAGAAAGGGGATTTGGGCAGGGAGGGGGATGAGAAAAACGCCATTAAAAAAAAGTTAAATATTTTAAAAATATATATTTATAGATTTGTTTTCACTTCATCTCCTCAAATAAAAAGTTCAAAATCAACTTTTAAGTAAAGCAGCTGGGAGAAGGGGGGAAGACAAGGGGAAGAGAGAACGCTAGAGGTTCCCTCCAACCCAAGAGCCCCTGGAGGTCCATGGGAACAGAGCGGCAAGGCAGGGCAGGTAGCCCCAGTAACCTACCCAGTGCACAGGCCCAGCTATTCAGGGGCTGAAAGGGGCAGAGGGTGGCAGCATAAGGGAGGAAACCCCCATCTCTCCCAGCTGGCTCCCTGAGGGGCAGGGGCAGGGCTCTTTTGACCCAGACTGTGGCAGACACAGAACTAACCAGAGGTCACCAAAGAGGCTGGAGAGAGGGCCCCAAATGCTTCCTCAGAGGGGGACATTGCGCCCATTCCCACAGAAGGCCTGTGAGTGGGAAGGTGGGCACAGTCCCACTGGGTAAGCTAATACTCATAGCAAACATTGAGCCGAGCTGGCAAGGGGTCTGAGGGAGAGGACAGCTGCACCATGATGGTGGAGCAGGAAGGAGGGGAGGGTGAGGGAGAGTGAGGGAGGGCAGGCAGGCCCATTTCTTTGGCTGGAGTGAGAGGGCATAGTCCTGTGGCTGCCCACTCCTTCTCCCTGCCTCCCTCCTTCGGCCAGTCAATGTGTGTGTAAAGAAAACGTGAAAAGGCAACAATAAATAAGTGGTGCCGTCCCTTGGGCCATCTGTCCAGGGTGGCGGGCGGATCATTCACTCTTGGTGCTGTGGGTGGCGTCCAAGTTTACCACCTGTAGCTCGGTGAGGTTGCTGCTGCTCCCAGCTTGCTGCCCTATCACAGCCATCTGTAGGGAAGGAGGAGTATGAGGATGGGAGGTAGGAGGAAGGACAAGCAGGCGCAGGCAGCCCTGAGCAGAAACAGATGGGCCTCTCGGCAAGGGAAGACTGGCTGGGGGGGGCAGGGGGGGGGGGGGGGGGGGGG